TGTCTTGAGTTAGACACTTGCCTCAAAACATGACACTAATTTAACTATTTCATCATCTGGAGATTGTTCTATCTCATGATCCAAAGAGGGAAGAGCTCAAAACAAAACATTAACTTAAGAAAATGATGCAAAAATGAAGGGTTCTAATTCTGCACCTGGTTTTGTCATTTAAAGATGAAAGCATATTGTGCCTATAGAATAGAATTAACTGATCCCACAGTGGGGAGATTCAGTTGTTACAGCATCACATACACTTAAGAGAATAATTTGAAGAATAATAATAAAAGTACATGTTTATACACATAGGCAGTAAGCTAATATTGTAACATTCAACAACTAAAAGCCACGTGTAAAAATGAAAAACTTAGGTTCCAGCACTATGCAGCATACTGTAAGGGACACAGACATTCTATGTAAATCAGTTATTGCACAAGTATTGAACACACACTGAGAATTGCATTGATGTTGTTGTCTATCAGGTTAATGCCAGTTCAACTCCGAGTTGCACACTCTTACTGCAGAGGGGATGAATGACCTACAGTTGCATTCTGTTTTACATCTATGATATCTCAGTCTGCTTGTGAAGGAGCTGTCCATGGTCTCCAGTGGAACACAGTGGGTGGGAGGTTTTTTTTTTTTTAGATGGAGCTCATCTTCACCAACATCCTCCTTTCACACATCTCCTCAACTGAATCCAGTGGGCAGAACAGAACTGAGCTAGCTTATGGAACTAACTTTTTCATTCTCTTGCTGTCTCGGTCAGAGCTGCCTGCACCCCAACAGACCACAGCAGAGTGGATAACAGAGCCAACCACTGAGTGATAAAAGGATTTTAGCAGATGGGAATTAACTCTGAAGGACCTCAGCCTCCTCAGGAGGTGGAGGTGGCTTTGGTCCTTCTTATAGAACATCTGTGTTGTTGGACCAGTTCAGTTTGCTGTTGAGGTGAACAGCCAGACACCTAAAGTTATCCACCACCTCAATGTCTGCTCCCTGGATGTTCACTGGTGAGTGATGAGGAATGTTTCTCTGGAAGGAAATAACCATTTCCTTTGTTTTACTGATGTTCAAGTGAAGGTGGTTACACTCACACCAGTCCACAAAGTCCATTATGACTGACCTGTACTCCAGGTCATTTCCCTCAGACACACAATCTACAATGGCCGAGTCATCAGAGAACTTCTGGAGGTGACAACTGCTGGTGTTGCAGGTGAGCACCGTACTGGTGGAGCGCCAGTACTGCACACAACCACTTCAGACCTACAGTTGTGCAGCCTCACGTACTGTGGCCTGTTGGTGAGGTAGTTGATGGTCCATGCAGTCAGATGTTCGTCCACTCCTGCACCCCTCATCTTCTGCTGCAGTAGACACTTCTGGATGGTGTTGAAGGCACTTGAGAAGTCAAAGAACGTGATTCTCACAGCGCTTTTTGTATCTCGAGGTAAATCAGCGCCTGGTGCTGCAGGGAGATGAGCGCATCCTTCATCCCCAAGTTTGTTTTCTATGCAAATTGGCTCACCACTGAATGTAGATGGGTGAGGATGCGTCTCTCCATAGTCTTCATCAGATGGGAGGTCAAGGCGACAGGTCTGTAGTGGTCTGGTTCCCTGGGATGTGATGTTTTGGCAAATGGAACCACACAGGAGATCTTCCACAGGATGGGGATGCTCCAGCTGAAGGCTCAGGTTGAACATGTGCGTGACCACTTCACAAAACTGGTCAGCACAGTCTGTGGCTAATCCCTTCAGGACCTGCCGCTTTCCTGCTCTTAAGCCGCCTCAGTAGTCTCCTCCACTGGTCAGATCTAACTGAGGAGAGGGAGTGAGGTGTGGTGCTGAGCAGTGTTGGTGGTGGGGGAAGAAGATGTTGAATGGTCTGAAATTTGGATGTGGGGGCGGGGGTGGAGTCAAATCTGTTAAAAACAGGTTAAGCTCATTGGTCCATTTCTGGTCCCCTTCAGCAGACTCACTGGCACCACTCCTTCCACTGTGACCTGTGATGTTCCTGAGGCCTCTCCATGCTATACGAGCATTGTTCTGCCGCAGCTGTGTCTGCAGGTTCTTCCTGTAGATGTCTTTAGCCCATCTGATCTGAAGTTTGAACATCAGATTAAGGCGGTGGTAAAATCTAGCTTCTTTCACCTCAGGCAGCTGGCAAAAATAAAGCCAATTCCTTCACGGCAGCACTTTGAGACAGTGATCCACGCCTTTGTAACCACTCGGCTGGATTACTGTAACGCACTCTACATTGGGGTCAGTGCATCATGTATTAGTCACCTACAGAGGGTGCAAAATGCCGCAGCTCGTCTTTTAACTGGCACTCGAAAGTTTGAGCACATTTCCCCTTTTTTAGCTTCACTTCACTGGCTGCTCATTTCTTTTAGGATTCATTTTAAAATTCTTTTATTTGCTTTTAAAGGTCTTCATGGCCTCGCCCCCTCTTAACTCTCTGATCTGATACAGCCTTACACTCCCTCCCGCTCTCTCAGGTCTGCTGATCAGCTACTCCTGATTGTACCCAGGACTGAGCGTAAACTTAGAGGAGATCGCGCTTTTGCTGTAGCAGCTCCAAAACTGTGGAACGAACTTCCTTTAGAGATAAGACAGGCCAGTTCCTTACCTGTTTTTAAGGCGCTCCTGAAAACACACCTCTTTACCCTGGCTTTTGATACCTTGTGTAGTGGAATATAGTGTATATATTTTTACACTGTAATTAGATCCAGATATTATAATCAGAAGCGGTTGTTTTTATCATCAGGGAGTTTACTTAAACACTTTGTATTGACTGAGAGACAAGAAAAGAGAGAGTTGGGATCGTTTAAGAATCTTTAATTTCTATAATTAAGAATTCAAACAATCTACCAGGACTATCTCAATGATGGATGCATATGGATTTGAATGTTATAGTGTCGGTGCGTGTGTGCGTGTGTGTGTTCAGAATCTCTAGGCTGTCGTAGGCGGATCTGGTTGTCTGATGTTATGACTACGGACCACGAGGCTTCAGAAGCTTATGACATGAACCGCCATCTTGTGCCGTGACTACGTACCTATGGAGTCTCCCGCGGTCAGATCAGGAGTGTCAGGTCCTAGAACCCCCTTGGTGCTGGGCTGATGAAACAGTGGTGCAGCACGACAAACCAGTCTACGGATAGCTCCGGCAGTAGCAGCAGATCTCGGCGAGTTCAGCTTTATTGTGAAGGAACCGTCGTCTTGTTGTTCAGACGACAGAAATTTCCAGCTTGACAGTTCTCAGCTTAAAGAAGAAAGTGCATCTGGCCAGGCTGCACCTCTCATAGCGGTGATGGATCGAGAGCTGGTTGAAATGTTGATTCTCAGATGTAACTCCTTTGGAACTCAGATCGAACAGAACTGAGGCTGGGATGGAACTAACTTTAAAATGGCGTTGCCTTGTTTTATATCCCTTAGTTGTTTATAAATCTTAGAAAACTGGATTGACAACTTAAGTAAACAGCCCAGATTCTGCCCTACGACAGACGAAAGTTCTGATTGGATGAGAGCAAATGTATCATGCGTTTCTATGTTATGTTGATCAGTCTGTCTGGTGCAGAGTCCTGTTTATTCATTAAACACATAAATCATGACATCTTTATTTCACAGATCAGTCACCTGATTATTAATGATCAACATATGTTTTGATTAGCTTTATCACAAATAAAGTACTTTGATTAATTAATGGAAAGCGTTCTTCTTGTCTCTTCTCCTGGAATGTAAACATACTGAAACAAGCACCCGACCTTGGCGATTCATACACGTTGTTACTGTGTGAAGGGGCAGCTGTTAAGGGCAGACAATAGGATATTCATAACGCTACACTTGTGAGATGTTGGTTTCTATTTTTATTTTTATTTTAGCTGTTATAGGTGATTCAATGCGGTTTTATCAAGTTTTTATTTTTAATATAGGGCTATTTTAATTTGATGTATCATGTGTTTTATTTATTTATTTCTCTTTGCTGCTTTCTGTTTAGTCAATTGTTTTAATGTATTTTCTGTACAGCACTTTGTTCCTGTGCTGGGTCTTTTAAAGTGCTTTATAAATAAAACTGGATTGGATTGGATTGGATATTTAAGCTCCTTTTGGACTCGTCTCATGCTCCTCTGTCACCAGCCATGATAGCTTTTTTTCTTATTGTTCAGCAGGTGTTTCAGCTCAGGGGTCAACCAGGATTCATTATTTGAGAAACACCTCACTCTTCGTGTTGGGACGCTATTATAAGTAATAATAATAATACTAATTCATTGAACTTATATAGCGCTTTTCAAGACCCCCAAAGACGCTTTCACACACTCTCACATTCACACACTACTATGGTAAGCTGCTTGTAGCCACAGCTGCCCTGGGGAGGTCTGACAGAGGCGAGGCTGCCATTTGGCGCCGTCGGCCCCTCTGACCACCACTAACACAGGCAAGTTGGGTGAAGTGTCTTGCCCAAGGACGCAGCAGCAGGACACCCCTGGCGGGAGCTGGAATTGAACCCATAACCCTCTGATCATGAGGCAACCCGCTCTACCACCTGAGCCACTGCTGCCCCAAGCATACTCGCATACAGTAGCGGTGCAATGTGTAGCTCAGATATATTGAGTTTTATTTTACACGTTTTAATGCTCCTTCAATGGTTTTTTGTAAATTTTAACCTGCACGCAGGAAGTAGTTTTCTTCAAAATAAAAGTCAAAATTTTCAAATTCAAAACGGAAGTATTCAATAATTTGCTTTTATTTTATATTTTAATCAATTAAATCCCGTCATTTGACAAAATGTTTAACAATTTTCGCACTTTAAATGTTACTTTAAGTTTTATTGTGAATTCAACCGGAAATGCTTGATAATTTGTAGTAGTCTGTTCAAAAGTGTCAAATGTTTATTTGATTAACGTGAGGTTTTGTTTACATTTTTCATACTTTTGCCTGACCAATTACTTTCAGTCACTCTGAAGTCTATTTAAGCCCAAACAAACCACTTCTGAAAAAGGGATCAGTCCTGAGTGATGCGGGTGATTGGAAACACCTGTGCGTGGTGATCGGCAGCAGCACGTGCGTCGTCCCCGTCTTCCTCGAGCTCTCAGCAGAGTCTCTCCATGGAGTTTTGACTGGTTGCATGATGGGAAAACAAATGCCGATGTCAGCTGCGGTTGGTTGTTTCCGCCCTGTTGTGTTGCTGCTGCTGCTAGTGACCTGCGTGTTCCCGCTGCTCAGCTCCTCCCTGGCTGCTTCCGATGCGCTCCCCGGCTTGGAGGACGTCACCTACCCGTACCACAGCATCCTGTCCCCGCTACTCAGGGCCCTGTCAGAGCACGGAGTGTCCAGGTGGAGCTCGGGCCTGAGGAGAAAGATGAAACCAGAGCACAGATACATGAAATATCTGACGGAGGTTTACAAGACGTCCTCCAGAGTACAGAGGAGCGTTGATGGAAACCAAATCCCCAACACCATCAGACTGATCAAGCCCCAAGAAGCGTGTCTTCCACGGAGTAATAATGGTGAGAAGTGACAACTGATAATAAAAGTACACAACATCCACACAGCTGCATAAATGCTCTTCTCTCTGAGGTATCATTTATTTAATGGCTCGTGGCGTACAGTTTATAACGTTATAAAGCATTTAGAGTTAAATACCAAAAGTTTTACTGGGATTAGAATGATTAACGTCAGCATCTCCTTTGAACCCACCCATTCAAAGTCAATAGCACCTCTTTGTAAATCACAACATATAGTGTGTGTGTGTGTGTGTGTGTGTGTGTGTGTGTGTGTGTGTGTGTGTGTGTGTGTGTGTGTGTGTGTGTGTGTGTGTGTGAGAGAGAGAGAGAGAAACAGAACTCTAATATTGTACCTGCACCATTTTCCTCCCTTTGAAAATCAAATTCATATGAATTTAAATATGTAATTGTCAAGTTATCCAGATATTATTTTGCTCATATTATTCAAGATAAATGGAATAAATTGAGCAAATTTTCTGAATATTCATCATGAGAAACATCAAGTGGGATGTCGAGTAAAAGAAATACAACATTTTTTGTAGATGGCATGCTGATCAGTGAGACTAATGGTTCAATTCCTGGAGTTTTGTTCTCTGTTTCAGGTCACTTTATGCAGATCTTATCCTACAGTCTGGATCAGGTGAGAAGGAAGGAGCAGCATCTGAGGTCAGCCCTGCTATACAGCTTGGTCCGGGACAACTGGACACCTGTCCACGCTGTGTGCCACCTGAGCATCAAAGAACAGGGGCAGTCACGCCAGTGCCCGCTGTGTGTGGGGATCCACCGCACTCTGAACTTTACCACTGGCAATGACGAGAGGCGGCGGCGGAGCCGGAGCTGGGTGGAAGTTGACGTCACTTGGTTTTTTCAGCATTTTGGGAAAGATCAGAAGAATATAAATCTGCTCATCAATGTCACCTGCCTGGAGGAACCAAACACCAGAAGCAATGTCTCCAGAGAGACGCTAGAATTCATCCTGAGATCTCCTCCTCTGATTCTCTATCTTAATGACACAAGTAAAGTCGCCCACCAGAGATCACCGGTCAATGCTAGCACAGATCAAAGGTTGTCCAGCTCATTTCAGAAGCTGAGACGTGGACATAAGAGGAGATGGAGGAGGGATTCTTCAAAAAGTAAGCAAGGCAACATGCAGCTGCCTGAGCTTCTGCCCAGCTCTGAGTTCCCAACAACCGACTGTGCCCTATATGATTTCAAAGTGCGATTCAGTCAGCTCGAAATGGATCACTGGATTGTTTTCCCGCCAAAGTACAACCCCAGGTACTGCAGCGGTATCTGCCCAAGAACCATAGGCTTCATCTATGGTTCGCCGGTCCACACCATGGTGCAGAACATCATCTATGAGAAGCTGGACTCATCCATACCCAGACCCTCGTGTGTCCCCTCCCACTACAACCCCCTCAGCGTCATAATCTTTGAAGAAGACGGCTCCTATGTCTACAAGGAGTTCGAGGACATGGTTGCTACGCGGTGCACGTGTCGCTAAGCTAACATCAGTGTCTGAATTTGTCAAACTGTTGCACATGAAAGCTGATCTGGAGCAGGTGTGTTTAAAATATTTTATCATGTTAAAAGAAAGCTGCCATTATTTAAGACAAATGGTAATGATACATCTTGTTCAACTTGCATGGTGGAGTCAAACACACAAAATAAAAATATTTAAATGTCTTTTTTTAAGTTTGTCTTCAGTTAATTTATTTTGAGATTAGTCATTATTCTTTATCACGGTTGTCCTTTTTTTATTTTAGTAGCACCGTTCTGGACCAGAAAACAACGTAGCAGTCACAATTTCTTATCAAACCTTTTACATGTTTGTTTTATTCCTTAGGATGATGTTCAGCTGTCTTTACAACCTCCAGAGTGGATGTTAAGGCTTCAGTATGTATTTATTAGCTTACCTCTTGTCAAGAAGTGACTATGTGTTTGTATTTGAATGTGACTGAATGCATATCGTGTATTTATGTGAGCTGGATGAATTTACTGTGCTCGGATAATGAATATATAAAAGTGTGGAAGATGTTGATTTCTGATAAGTGGGAAAATTAAAATAATATATATGCATACTTGTTATTGTGTGACTGTGGCCAAATTCACAAATCATTAAGTGTTTTCTATAATATGATCTGGAAGTTTTTGGTGAGTAAAATTCAAACGTAACTAAATCTTTCAATTTGTTTTATATTGGACCAACTATTTGTCTTTGGACGCAGAATCAACGTTGGCTTTAAGTAGATGTGGTTTTCAGTGTGTACTTATTCATGAAGACTACTACTAATGCAATAAATAATGTTCCATCAAAGCAAAACATAAAGCAGAAGCAAAAATCCTCATGAATGGATCACATTTTTGGCACTAGTGAAGTATAGATAATAGTATAGTTGAATAAAGTACACCAAAAGTGCTTACAGAATACTAATACATGGGGACCAATTTGTTCATTGCTTGAGTTTTGCAATGTGACAGTAAACTAATTCTACCCAAGCCCCCACAAAGCAGGTCAAAAATTGAAGCAAACGCAGAAGTGAAATAAATTGCAGTTACACCCTCATCCGCTGGGGGCTGGTGTCAGAAGCGAGCAAATCCTCATTGACTCCCATGTTAAAAATACCAAATTCACAGCAGAAATAAACATGTTTACAGCCTGGTTCCAAAACATGATTTTTGTTTAAATGATCTAGTTTATACTCATGACAACTCTGAGGGGGGTGAATTTTTTTCTCACTCTTCTGTTTAAGTGTATTAAAAGCCTAAAATTCTTTATAATTAATGAGCATCAGACCCACGTGACCGCAGAGCTAGCTCCGGGGAAAGGCCTCAGTCTGATCCTCGGCCTCGCCTGAAAACTGTCCATCAGTTTCCGTCTCTCAACTTAGACCATTAGTTGTAGAGTTTGTGTATTCTTTTTTGGATATTATCTGTGCAATTAATGGTCAAAATGACTTGCTGTGGTATTAATTGCACTAATAGAGCGTCCAAGGAGTCTCCACTTAATTTTTTTCGGTAAGTAAAATTATATTTATGTATTTTAGGTCACAGCCAAGCTGAGCTTAGATTTTAACATGTACTGTTTAACCATGAAATTTAAATGTAATAGGGTACCCCAGTGCATTTAACATAATGCTGCACTTAACATGTTGGTGGAGCTGTGTTTTGACTATCGGCTTGTGGAGCTCTCAGGAGACCCTCCCCGCAGCTCGGCGCATCTCTGTCTGATCGCGGCTCCTTTCTGCTGCGCGGGCTGCCTGCTTGTGGAGCTCTCGGATGTGTAGCGTGCTTAAACTACATACTAGAATTAACGCTATTTGCTATCAGCTTTGTTAGATTCTGAAGAAGATCAAACAAGTAAGCAAATGAAGCTTCTATCATATCTAAATATCTAGGATATTAATATATTCGATCGAAGTTCATACGCCAACGAGCTTGGTCTATATTTAATCCAAAGATTAATTTTTAATTTAAGATAATTAAATTTTAGCAAAAGTTTATTTATTGGATCAGAAGCTTAAAGGAATCTTTGTTTATTCAATAACCAAAATATACACCATTCTGTGTTTGATTTTAAAGAAGAGTCAGGTTTATAAATTAAGAATTTATTACTAACAATTTTGAAAATTGACAATTTATAAAAATGACAGTTTGTAACTGACAATTTGTAACAGCTTGATATTAAAACTTGTTATTAAAAGCTTTACCTGGGTCTGAATGAAAAGCTGAAATTGAAATGCGAGGTTTGGATATGTGAATGAATCTCAGGTTTCTGTCAGAGAGAGAAAGCGCGTTCTGGGTGAAAACGTTGTTTTTGCAGCTAACTGATGGTTTCTTAGAGAGAACAGCATCGGACACAATCTGTGTGCTACCTCACCCAGTTAGACGACCCTCTGTGTGGATCCAGAGGTCAAAGAAGGTTGTTGTCAGCCTCAGGGTACTCGGTCAGGTTGAGAAGACCCGAGTGAAACCGACTCTCTGCCTCAAAGTTGTCGCAGGGTACACAGTGTTGAGCTTGCGTCTGGCTTAACCCTGAAGGAGTTTTGCATCAGTTGGTTACAGGTGCGTTTATTCGGAGCAATTCTATCGGCGTGACAGAATGCTTAGTGAGGAGTCAGGCGGCCGACCCTCGTCCTCTGGGATGGTTCAAGAACTGAACTTCAGCTGCGGAGATTTGGTTTTAACAAAACCTCCACATGCCCTCTCAGCGTCAGAAAGCTCATTGTTATGGAGTAAAGACATGTGAGGTGGTTTAACTTTACCCTGGGTACAGTCCTGCATGAGGTGTACAAGTGCCAATGACCTTCTGGTTGATGATCACACATTACTGATTATCATAAATAATAATTATTATGAACCCAAAGAATAACAAGTCATGTCATCCTGTTTCCCCCAGCGAGAACAGCCATCTACGGCGCCCATCTACTGTACAGTCACAGGTGGGAGGGAGATCTTGGGAGAAGCGAAGAGCACCTCGCCAGGCTAAAGTCCACCAATCCGAAGGCGCGGGGGGGCTGCATTCCTTTGTGGGGGTTTGTTCCTAGCCGCTCAAGGCTACCAGGGCATCAGATTCAGATGACAAGAATTTGTTTGGGTCCGGCTGAGATAATTTTCCTCTCTGCCTTCAGTCTTTAAACTGATCATTCCAGTCCTTCAGTGAAGCCAATTTTGGGTTTTTAAACCTGTCCATACCGTCCGGTGACTCTCTCCAAGATGATATCCGTTTTGCGCACTAATACCGGCATCGCAGCTAGAACATTGTCCAGCTTACGATTCACCTTGAGTATTTATCAAATCCACGGTTAGTAAAAATAGAGCTTTTCAGAAGAAGTGCAGAGAAGCACTCTATGGGCCGACAGGACAGAGCCTTGGGAAAAAAAGATAAGGGAGCGAAAGAGAGAAGCATCTATACTCCTCAAGTGCCAACAGAATGAATGAATGAATAAATAAATAAATAAATAAATAAATAAATAAATAAATAAATAAATAAATAAAAGTCACTTGAGTCAATTGAGCAGTTTCAGATGGTTACAAGTGTTAACAGACTTGAGAGCCTTTGTGTTTTTTGATGAGGAGATCGTCCTTATATATTGTTCAAGTTCCATTTTTAAAACAAGAAGTTCAGGTTTTCTGCCAAGGACTTTGCTTTTGTGTATGTGAAATTTTGCCAAAAATAAAAAAAATATTTACAAAGAAGAAAGCATCATTGTCCTTGTTTTTTAAATTATGAAGACCAAGGATAACATCTTTGTAGTATAGTTGAATGGGAGAACAGAGTCATTAATAAACTTGTGGAAGTCCTTCCAGAATTTACTTGTAAATTTACACAATCAGAACAAGTGAGTAGCTGTTTCAGGTTGCTCTTGACAAAAGGTACAATTTCCATTTATATCAGCTATGAATTTTGACAAATAGTGTTTGGTAGGATAAAACTTATAAATCAATTCAAATGTAATCTCTTTAACTTTGTTCGTTAAAAGAAATTTTTGTGGTAAGGTCCAAACTTTTTTCCATTCAATATATGTTACAAAATTAGCCTAATAAGATATGGTTGATGGAACAGAAATCATTGTATCCTGAAAGAGAGTTCTTATTTTGTTATTCACCAACTTATGAGAGGAAAAACAAACACTGCCAAGAGAAGAATGTAACACATCCGGACGACTGACTGATAGTGGAGCGCTGTGGGAGAATCTGAACAACATAGACAGACCGGATGTGATGGCATCAAACTCTATTGAGAATTCTTTAGGCTTTATTGGTACATTGTATCTCCTAAGGAATTCAGAGTAATTGTATAAGAGCCCCTTTTCATCAAATAACTGGCTAACCAAGATGATTCCATTATTAAACCAGTTATTTAAAAATAGTTTTAATTTTATAAATAATATAGCAGTTATTCCAAATAAAAGAGTTTTGCGGGGAGAAGCTGTGTTTGTAAATCAGTGCCCACGCCAAAAGAATTTGTTGATGGAAGTGAGAAAGTTTTAGTGGTATTTTCGGAATACTGTAATTGCAGAGCAGTATAGGAAGACTTTAAGGAGTTTTGAATTTTTATGCTCACCATTGCCCCCTCAGGCCAAAAGTGTAACGGCAGCTTCAATAGTAGGCTCGTGCACGAGGCGCGCATGCTGTACGTGCACACTCCTTAACGAAAATAACAGCTTAGACAGTCCCATGTGTGTGTGTGTGTGTGTGTGTGTGTGTGTGTGTGTGTGTGTGTGTGTGTGTGTGTGTGTGTGTGTGTGTGTGTGTGTGTGTGTGGCCCGGAGGACAGAGGACAGGAGAACGCGCAGCTAATTAATTAAATAATATGGTTCTGTACCTTTCTCTTCGGCACAGCCGACAAAGGTTTAAGATGGGTCAGTCCTCCTGCATGCTCAGATCATTCCCTTCCCTTGCTTGAAAAATTGTTCCAAAATTAAAGTTGAACCCACATCTTTTTTATCTGTGAATTCAATGCCGTTCGGCGAGTCTCAAATAAAAATTTGGGCATCTTACTGTAAAAATATATACCATTAATGTAAAAAATAAACTCTAAATAAACTATGTTCACATCCAGAATCGACCCTGGGTCTTCCACACAAGGGTCCGACACCTTACTAAATGAGCTATAGCACCAGTGATGTCTTTTCTATCTGCAATATTTATATCCTTGATGACAGCTGAAACAACGTTCAAAGAACGGTTCGGAGCGAAAATGGCTATTTTGTTGATAATTTGCAGGAAATATCTAGAAGAAAGTAGCTAAGGGTCCTCAGAAATGTAGCTAGGTTCATCACTAGGCGTTAGGAACAGCGACAAAGTCAAGTAAGGCATGTAATCTTCTGTATTACTTGTGCCTCGTCAAATCTTTTTTTTTTGTCAACTCACTGCTGTATTTTCTAAAGAATTTTCCGATTTCATATTTCAAAAGTTCCCAGTTGCTACAAAATGTATTATCTGTGAGAGATTTAGCCCAATAAAGTTTAAGTAATCTTTGAACTTCATAAATTACTTCTTTGTGCTCAAGGATAGTACAGTTTAGCTTCCAGTATTGGCAAGGGAGGATGACAATGGGATTGATAAACTAACCA